CGTGAACAGCTACTCGCATCAGGTTGAGGATGGTTGAGGGAACTCCAAAGACAAACGACGCCGAAGGTCGGAGGACATGGCATACCGCCGATGCGACGACACGCGCATGCATACACTTTGGCTTCTGCCGTTTGTCCGGAATCAGCGGTATGGCAATGCAACTCAATCCAAAAATGCCAATGCTGCGTTGCACCATGCGGCCGTGGTTGCTAGCGTCATTGCATCATTTGTGTTATCGCCAAAACCACACAGAGAAAGTGCTGCATCTGTACCATGAAGTGCGCAACTTGTGCAAGGCCGCTGAACAGACAAACGCAGACAGAACTCGTCGGATACAACCCACTAACGTGAGAGCACAACATGCACAACTGAAGGAAACAAGGCCTGCGGAATTTCTCCAGAGACCGAGGGCCCCGCTGCGAGGTCGGCGCCTGCTCGCGGTACCAGTTCGCGCACCTGCCGTGCTATCTGAGACCGGCTATTCTGAAACGCACTTCAAACCTCAGTGCAGACCGACGGTTGACCTGAAGCATTCAGTTCAATAACATATCCACCCAAGAAGCCTCTTCAACCAAACTCGATGACGAATGGCTGCAGTCGCATGGCCGATAGCGGCAAACTTGGCGTCCCGCTGGGGGCCACGGTGCATGGAGTACTGGCAGTGGAAGATCTCAGCAGCTGTGCACGTGGAATCCAAGAGGCAGCGCAACATGCGACGAGCACCGACCCCGAGCTGCTGGCCACGAGCTTCTCCTTCGAGAACTTTGCCACCAGCTCCGGCACCTTACACGCGACCACGAGCAGTCCAACGCGATGAGGCGCCAGCGACTTCCAGTCCATGCAGTCCATGCAGTCCCTCTCTTGGCGGCCCCGCCCGGTTCAAAAGGGGAGCCTGGAAGCTGGTGGGCTCGTGCACCGAGCCCTGCAGCGACGGAGAGACAGGACACCAAGACGGGATCCTCCGCACACCACTTTAAAACAAATCCGCGAATGTTCCTGAAGGCCTGGATGTGGCCGGAGGCCCGGTCGGCTGACCGCACATCCACCACCACGCACCTCGGTGCGTTCTTGAAGTAGTCTTCGCATCCGAAAGGCCTTTGCCAACTGCGTCAGGGGCCTGTGGCCCTGCCCTGAAACGAGGAGCTGGTGCACCTGTCAAGATCCCTCGACAAGTCACGCAATCAGCGGAAACATCGCAAGAGCGATGGTGTGGCGCCTCCTGCGGGGAGAGCTTCTCCACCCCCTGAAAAAGAGGCAGTTGGCGAAGAGGCGATCACAAGATTCCGCTATCAAACCCCAGACAGATGTTGCCCTGCAAGTGGTCAATTTGTCAATGCAAGCAGACACCAAAAGTTGAAACAGCTGTTGCGCCCCGGCTCGAACCCCGGCCTTGTTCAGGGGAACCTCCAGGTTCGGCCCCACTAAACCGGTGGGAGCCGAAGGCCTGTGCATCGCGTGGGTCGGTTCTGCCGGCAAGATGCTTGAGCTGCATCTGGCACGGGAAAAGCACACGAAAGAGCGGAGAGGAAGCAGTCGTGAGACCCGAGACTCACTCCAAGCCTGTTGAACTTGGTGTCCATTGACACTCACCTGCACCCTCCTTCGCATGTGTCGTTGGCGAGCACCACAATCCCAGATATCCCAATCATTGTCTGTCGTTTTGTCTGCCCTGTGCGTCCGTGTTTTGCATCGCTAACCAGGTGTTCGCGAGTCACGTTCCCGTTTTGGCCAGGCTTTGAGACAAAGACGCACTGGGCAACACGTCAACAATTGGTGACATAATGCAGCCACGCCTGGGTGCAGACACGACGGTCTTCGTCGCAGTCTGCACCTCGACATCGTGGAAGATGGAAAAGGAAAGCCGTGTGGGACGACAACATGCCAGCGCAACCGAGGACCCTGCACTCCCTGCAATTACAATTTGAAACTCTATTGGCCGACTCTTCTCAGGCTTTGGCCACCGTGGACACGTGCTCCTGACAAGGTCGGGAAGCAGATCGAAACAGATTTCGTGGGACCAGCATTGAGCAGTCCTTTCGCGGCAGACAAGGGATGAAGGGCCTGGTTCAACTTTAAAAGGCATCTGGCTATAACCGCTTTCCAAAACTAGCTGTTGCAGGCAAAGGCACATGTACTTCGCAAGCAATGATAACTTCGAGCTTGCACAAGGAGCTTCCCGAAGCTCTCTCTCAACCCTGTCCGGTGATCTGCGAGCCTGGTGGCAGCAGGCACCCGTCGTACCAGGGGCACATTGGCCTCAGATTTCTTCGCTCAGCTCCATGGTGCTCCCGGTGTGGATAGCAAATCGTCACGCTGCATGGCGCACCGCCTGCACGCATGCACTCTAGGGTCTGCACCGCCTTGGCTGGGAAGTTGCAGGCGAAGCCCTGCGCACCGACGGGATTCAAGATTCCGCTTGCAAAACATGCCACCTAGATGCAAAAGCTCCAAACCGGCCAGCTGGACCGGGCAGTTCACATGTGTCAGCGGCACCGCAGCGCATGGAGCGACGTAGATCCTTGCTCAACCCCCCCGCACAAAACTACAGCACCTCCCGAAGAAGGCAGCCAGTCGACTCCACAAGCGTCCAAGGCCACTGCCTCACCGGCATGGCCACCACGGCTGGCGCCTCAGAAACCCTTGAGAAACCGAGACTGGGAAGGCTTTGTGCTGCCACGGAAAGGGGCCGAGAATGAATTATCATAATCAATCTGTTGCACACCAAGGTACGGCTCTGGGAGCTGCGGGTCCATAGAAGTACGAGACCTGAGCTGATCGTTGAGCAAACTGCAGCCATGCGAGCCTCGAGCATCAACGCTTCGTGCACCCTCTCGGCTCTTCGCATGCCGAGCCATCGCAGGAAGCGCACGTTGGCCGCTGCCCGATACGAAGGCCACCGTGGTGCTAAGCTTGCGCCAAGAGCTGCGGCGATCATATGATCTCATTTGAAACTTTGCCTCCTTTGCTCCTTTGAGACGTCAAACAACAGCGGCGGGAGCAGAAACCGTCCAGCGTTGCAGCAGTCTGTGCCCAAGGCAAGCAGCTCAAGTAATAGGGGTTGACACGTTTTCCGATAAGAGCCACGAACATGTCGATGTCACCGCTGCTGCTCAGTCATCACGACTACGAAGAAGGATGGGAGTGGTCGGCAAGCATTGAGCTGCGTAGAAACATGCTTTGGCGAGTTGTCAGTGATTCGAGTTGCGAAACATGAGTTTTTCGGCGCCTACAACTATCTCTGCTTGTGTTCCATTCTTTCTTCATGATGTTACCATACTTTCCAATTAGTTCCCAAGTCTAACGAGTCTAGATGAGCTTGATCTAACGAAGCTCCCTTGTTCTCCGATGTCTCTGTAGTCTTGAGACTTTTCCCAACCGTGTCAGAGCTCACAAGTTCAGAGTTCCTGCAGTGTGCCGGGTTTTGCTGGGGAAGGACTTACTTTCTAGGCTCCAAAGAAAGTTATCGAAAAAACTGTGACAAACTAATGGAAATATTGGCGAAAGATGTACACCACTGGAAAAGGCATCACTAAGTGAGCACTATCACTAGGTTCTCACAACATAGCAGCAAACATGTCACAGCTTCGGCCGCAGATCACCAACTTGTCACTACATTATCACAGAACGGACAACACCTCAATGGTTGCCTGACCTGCCATCCTTAAGACTACAACCAGCGTGCTGCTTGAATGGAAAAATCTTCGGATTCAGCGAGTGGGCCATTTAAGCGTCAAAGCCATCTCACTGTGAACTGCCGGATGCCTGGCAGGACTTGGTTGATTGCACCGTAGAGGAATGCGCGGATTCACGCCGTCCCTGTCCCCCCCCCTTCCTCCCATCCCTTTGCCTTTTCTTCTCTTCCTGCCTTCCTCGCTTCTGCTCTTCGTCTTCTCCTCTCCTTATAGGTTTCTCGAGGCACTAACTTGCGCCGCCCAGGCTCCTACAGACAAAGCAGAAAACGTGACAAGAATCCTGGTTGTAGTGAGCCCAATGCCAACTGTAGTGTGACGAAACTCCACCAAAGACTGGCTGATGCTGATGGTTTGCAAAGCCATTTTAGATCTCAAGCCCAAGACTGGAATTGCCTCGGTACTAGCTTGTCAATGCAGCTTGGCACACACACGCACACACGCGCGGGACAAAGGTCGGCCTGCACAACATATCAACAGCAGGATCATCTACATCATCCACATCACGACGTTCACTCTCAATGTCCGTGTCACGTTACATATTCTCAACATCACCGCTATCATCGTGTTCAAAGAACACGAACAAGAACAACACCACCAATACACCGATAAAATACCAGTACCACGACCGCCTAAACCACCACCACCACATACCACCACCACAACCACGACCGACACGACCGCGACCCCGACCACGACGACCACCACCACCAACAACACCACCATCATCAACACCACCATCACCAGAACCACCACCACCAGAACCACCACCACCACCACCACCACCACCACCACCACCACCACCACCACCACCACCACCACCACTACCGCTACTACGACTTACAGACTACGACAACTACGACCTCTACGACTACGACGACTACTACGATACTGCGACTACTGCGACGACGGCTGCTAAGCCAGTGTTGTCATTATCGCTGACACTGCCACTATCAGATTATCACTACCACTGCCACCACCACCGCTCCGACGACGACGACCACAACTGCTGCTAATTTCTCTGCCGCCGCAACTGCTGCTGCTGCTTCTCCTCCCCGCAACATCCTCCAACTCTTCCTCTGATCCTCCTCTGTGCCAACAACAAGGACAACAAGAGCAACAAGAAGAACAAAAAGAACAATCGCAACACAAGAAGAACAAGGACACGAAAACGCGACGACTCCTGCTGCCCCGTCCTTCTCCTTCTTCTCCTCCGATGCTACGGACACGCAGGAACACGAAGACGACTACGACTAGTAGACTTACATCATCCATTCCTCATCTGCATCAAGGCCGGCAGCAGCTTCAACATCATGAACTGTGCGTGCTAAGGACGGCCCCAAACAATCCCTCGCAGGCCTGCAGGCGGTCCACCGCAAGCAAAACTGCCAAAACAAGGCCAAGGTCTGTCGCCCCGGGGCTGACCACCTGGAAGAAGTGTGGTCGACGCTATTGGGATAGGAAGTTGGCCTTCGGCATTGCAGGGGTGCAGGTGAAACGACGCCTCGCCTCCGACTCTTCACATCCTGGAACTACTAAACCTCTCGGGAAAGACTTCGTGACTCTGTACTCCAAGCTCCAACATACGTAACCTTTCAAGCCCCACTCATCCCAATTTGCTGGGTGCCTAGTTTTCCCCACCCTGACAGCCACTCAGCACATCTGCTGCGAGCCTGGACGTGAAGGGTGTCTGGCATGCTCCCACCGCCCCTGTCAAGGGCTTCTCGTCGCTCTCGCACTTAAGTTTAGAAAAAGCAAGAGGGCGCCTGCAAAGCGTTGCTTCTGCCACGGATCGCTTCCGTGCATCCTGCACATGCAGCCGCCCATCCAGGCCTGATGCGCTGCATTCTTGGGGCCCCCTCCTCCCCGACTGCTCGCTTCAGTCGGACTCCACGAATCTAAGCTGCCCGCCCTCGAGGCCTCCTGTCACCTGGCGCAAGGGAAAGACGAGCCCTTCTTGCTTCTGGGACTCGCTGCCGGGACACTGCCGCAGCCTGGCCTGCAGCAGCACCCCCAGCCCCAGCCGGCTGCGCAGCACGAAGCCACCAGGGCCGGCCTCGGCGCTGGGCTCTAGCAACAAGCAAAACGAGGTGGTAGATCTCCACTTCGGCCAAGGTTGGTGCTCGGGACTTCCATCGGAACCAGCTGCCTCGCGCCTGCACAGGCTGGGCTAAGTCGACTGCGCTCTAGCAGCTGTCGGGGCCCTTCAATTCAATCCGGCCCGGCAGATCGCAGTTTGGGTCGAGTTTGCCGCTGGGTGTCCGCAGGATCGCGTGACACTGGCAGAGGAGGGCTCTTTCCCACCCCCCTTTTCTGGGGGGGTGGGGGGGGGGTTTCGGAAATAGGTCCGGACCTATTTCCCGACATCCGTGAGGGTTAGGGACGGTTACCGCAGCATGCACCGGGCAGAACAAGGACTAAGGCTTGGAGAACGGCTATGATTGAATCCAGCACTGTCGAGCCTTCTGCCAGTTCTCTGGATATACTACAACTACAGGTACAAACTACATGCATGCATACATACCTACTCACATACATCGATCTACATCGACATCCACGACAGCGACACATCACAACACCCCTCCCCAGACATATTTCTAGGACCCGCCCCCACTGTCACCGAAAATAGGTCCAGCGTGACCCGGAATTAGGGTGAAAATCATATTGACCCCCCAGCAAGACCTATTATTAAACAGGGGCTGTATGTGCTTGTGTTGTGTTGGCCCATGTACCGCCGCGAATGCATCGCCTGGCACCTGCAAAAACGAAGCGATGCTCAAAGATCGGCGCTTCTGGACAGTCCGTTTGCGCAAGTCGATGGCTTACAACATCATGTAAGCATGACATATGCCATGGTAGCTGCCCAATCTGTTTGGCTTAGATTACTTTCGTTGGGAAGTTGGGGACATGCTGCGCTCTTGCTGAAAGTTATTTGGTCATTCTCGGCCAGCTACTTTTCAGAATTCTATGCGGCTCTGAAGTCTCAGACCGTTGCCAAAAAATCTGACAACAAAACGATGCCGTCTCCCATCCGTCTAAATTGCTGGTATCTTCCCCAACAAACATGCCTGCGCAAGACGGAAAAGGAAGTTCACACATCGCGATGTGCCGGCACGTGAACTCTCAAACTCAAAACCTCGAAAGCCCCCCGAGGATACTCCGATATTCCGCGCCTGAAGAGCCTCCCACTCCAGCGTCGCGAAGGGGCTCTCACTGTTGCTTTTCAAGATTTGGCAGCTGCCATCTCCCTGGCGACGCCAACAAGAAGGTAACTAACTTCCACAACATTCTGGTGACTTCCTGGCAGCAGCAACCTTGTCCTAATAAGGCTCGTTCCTTTACATCAACCCTGTAGAAACCTTTAGCTTCCCTGAAGTACCCACTCCAGCTTCTGGACCTCCAGCGAGATCTGGCAGGCTGCAAGAACCTTGACAAATGCACTGCAGATGATCCTAAGGCCCTAAGCTGCTCCAGCTTACCTTGTTCTCGCAGCCGTCATGTTCATCAACGCTGCGACGCTCATCGCACCGCTTCGATGATTGCAATGTTACTAGTACTCTGAACTACCCTTGCTATTACTGGTGGTGGTGCCGCTGCCGGGACTACCAGCACCGCCACGGCCGAGACGATTGCTTCCGCAGCCCTGCTACTAGTACTGATGCTGCCTCAGCTACTACTGTTGCCTGATGGATTCGTCCCCTCTCCGCGTCCCACAATCCTTGCTAGTCCCAGTATCACTACGTAGTTATTCTTCCTACTGCTCTCGTGCACCTAGGACCTAGGGCCGCAGCACTCCATACTGCGCCACCACCACCAACAACACGACAGCATCGATGTCACTGCCAGGCTCCGGGCGGCACCGTCTTGCCGGGCAATGTTCAGCTGGAGACCTTGAGCCTGCCCATAATTGCCAACAGCTTGAGGCCTAAGAGCTCGGTCAACTTTCCACATACATGAACTTCAGTAACTTCAGCTGCGGAAACAACCGATTACAAGTTGGAACACGCAACTTCGAAAGGCTTCAACTTGTGTAAGCATGCAATCCATGTCTGCTTGCAGCAGGCATGCGAGCGTGTACGTATCCATGATACTCTCTCAGACCTGTACAACACAGGGCTTTAGGAGCCATGGTGATGCCCTGTCACAATAGCCAATAGCCGCGCACACTGAAGACCTCCCCAGCCATGAAAAAAATCATGCTTGCATGCGAAGGAGGAAACATGTTGAGTGAGATGAAAGAAGAGATAGACACATACCTTTACACGTGTCTATACATGCAATATATACATATATATATATATATATACAGCCATGTACATACACGTTGCACAGGTACAGATACATATGCTGATACTACTCGTGTGCATGTATGGAGCTCTATGTCTCTGTATACATATAAACATATGTATATATACATATATATATATACATATACATACATATATATATATATATGTATGTATGTATATGTGTATGTATGTGTATGTATGTGTCTGTATGTATATATATATATACACACATCTACATCTGTGTATATATATAAGTGTATGTATATAAATGTACATATGCAGATGTAGATGTGTATACATATACAGACATACATATACATAAGTAAGTATACATATATACATATACACACATATGTACACGAGTGTGTGTGTGTGTAGATTCTGTGTGGGCGCTACAAGTATGCGAGCACGCGTAAATATTTGTACTTTTTGAAATGAATATGTGTTTCCGTATTCTTCAATCGTTTTTGTACTACTACGCATTTAGTTCGATAAAGACCCCATCTTGCGTACCACAAAATCATACACAACTGCGTGTCAATGCTTTGTTTTCGGGCCCGAAGGAACGTGCAGTGCCGGCCTTCGAACATTCGCTGAACCAATGCTAATGAGCGATGGTACAAGGCCTAGCCGGCATGACTAGTTCTACATCTACATTGACATAACATCAACAGGTGCAAATTGATACAGTTTGTACTCTCTAGAATTATCTGACTTACATTGAGGTACGTGGCGGAAGGGGCCTCTTTGCTGTGTTGATCTATTTTTCATGTGTGCGGTTACGTTGATTTTCGTATTCATGTATTTATGCAATACGTATGTATTTTCAACCGTCAACAGAGAGACATGTCCCCGAAATGTACATACATACCCTGTGTTGCTTCTCCATGCAGCTTCTAGACACTGGTCAACCCGTGCTCCCGACTTTCTTACCAATGGCTGCAAGCTTTGTGCAAGCGTGGTAGCAAGCGGCCACCCGGACCTTCGGATGAGTGGCCACTGCATCACTTAGTACTGCGCGTGACAAGGTCTCCAGCCGGCCGGCACGTTGACCCTTCGACAGAGAGTTGACACGGTTGGGAAACGGCACGGCCTCGCACCCGAACGGATGCTGCAAACGAAAATGAAGCCCGATTTCTGTAACGTAGCTGGGATCATACGAGTCCGAGAGCCAGTGCGACATGGTGGACTCGGGCTGCACGCCCGTTACACACGAATTCACCCCGCGCATGTTGCACGCTCACATGCCGGGAAAGCTAAGTGACGAGGCATTCTCAGCCTAGGCCCTGTCTCTGTAAAGCCTTCAAAGCATGGCCACGTCAAAGAAATCGGAGAACACTTTGGCCCCCACTGTGGGGCAAGTTAGGAAGCACGCAGCACGCACTCTCGGGTGGAGATTGCTGCGGCCGGTGGCTCCTCTGCATGACACGACTGTGCTTCTTCCGTCCCGGACAAGTTCTAGGGTTTGCTTGCGGCGAAGGCCTGCATTGGAAGACATTCGGTTCCGCCAACGGGAACTGCCTGAGCAAAAGAATTTTCTAAACTTTCGCCTTTCCCGCTTCGCTGAGACCAGGACAGCATTCGCCGAAATCAACATCGGGTTGGCGGCCCTGCATGTGTCCATTCCGTGAACACCCAATACTCAATCAGGTGAATCGTCGCATGTAGGGCCCTCCGCCTCAAACACTTAGGCTGTCTCTGTTCGCCAAGCTGCTCAAACACGCTGTCCTCCTCTGTGGTCTGGTAAAGCATGAGGAGCCCCGTCCAAGCGGTGCTGGCAGTGTGGATCATCCTGCAACCAGCATGTGGACAGTCCCGACCAGACGAAGCAGCTAGATCCCAGGCACAACAAACTCTCAAACGCCACCAAGACTCCGCAGATACGAGAAGCCCATGCCAGTGTCTGATCCACCAGGGAATGGACCGTACGAGTCGTGCCTCACATGATGCTTGAAACGACGTGTTTTGCTCTTTCATCACGGTGCATGGAATGCATGGATGAAGTACAGGAAAGCCATCTCGAACTCACGGCCATGCCACAGTGTGTACTGCTGGCCGTTTCCACCACGCACCTAGGCCAAGATCGCAGTCATGATGCAAATGATTTTGCAGGCTGCTGATGGACGACTTAGGTGCGAATCCAAGCAAAGGGCCGAAGCCGGGACTGCGCCGTAGCTCTGCAGCAGCGTGCGGAGTGACAGCCGGCTGGCGTTCAGCCGATACTTCAGCCTTGGTGGCTCGAATCAGGTGCCACGACAGCCCAGCAGACAACGCCTCACATGCCCTGCATCTGCGTCCCCGGCTGGAGAATGAAATCGGCATCACTGCCATCGGAATGTCGGTAGAGGAAATGTGCCAGGGCCATCCTAAATCCATCTGCAATCAACGCGTGGACTCGTTGCTGCTCTATCTGGTGAAAGCACTCTCACAAGGCACTACGATGCCGTCAGAGAATCGCCGCCCCTGCTGTCTCCTCCCACTGGATCCCGAAGCCCTGCAGTATTGAAGCGCCGCGACGACATGCAGACTCGAACTCAGCAGGGCAACCGGCCTTGGAGGTGAACTTGGTCCCGTGCCTTCAAAGGGCAGGATGTGGCAAAGCTCCGGTCTTCGAGCATCGAGCATCGAGGCAGCCAAGCTGCAAGTGAGCTGGCGGTTCCTTGCCGGATAACTTGTCAACATCTGTGTCCCAGAGCCAATCCTGCAGAGCTCAACCGAGGCTCGAGGTCCTCAACCCTGAAAATCTCTCAGCTAAAACCATGAAAGCACAAGCAACCGCAGCCAAGGTTCGCTGTAAATGGAAAAGCTAATGGCGCTCCCCACAGCACCCTGGGTTGGAGCTAGGCTCACTGCAAGGCCACGGGTGGCAGAGTAAGCTCGAAAAAATGCGCCAAGCGTCATGATTCGGATCTGCTTCCGCAAGGAAGCTCCAGAACTGCGCGTCGGTTGGCCTCAGTCGCAACCGCTTCGCTGCAATGAGCCTGAGACACGCTCGAGGCCGCCACACCAGGTCGTAGTGTGACCTGAAGCACGCCAAACAAGAAGACCCCACTAGTCAGACAAACCATGTCATGGAAGGTCACAGAGCCTGTAATCCCTCAAGCTCTGAATTCTAAAATCGAGACTTCAGACCCAAAGCTCAAAGCAGTCGCAAAACATCGGCTGGCCTGCCAGTGTCGCACCTCACCTGCGCGCCCGTGCCCAGCGCATATGCATCGGGGTAGGCCTGCTTCAATCAAAATGCTTGGACATCTCCAGATTAAAAAATCTCATTCACCAGGCTGAGGCCTCGTGCCGCCCGTGCATCTTCTGGATAAACCGCGATGCACGCTCTTGAAGCTCGGCATTCCCGAGCATGCCTGGAACAGACTAGTCTCCCATCTACGATGCAGTAGGCTACAACTTTAGCCAGCACAAGCTGCGATCTTGAAGCTGACAGGGCTTCCGAATACAACGCTCAGATTCCGTCTGGTTAAAAGCCAGTTGCCCGCCAAAGCAAAGATGTCGATCTGGTGCTCGGTTGCGCGTTGATGAACCCGCGTGGGAGGCAAGCGTGCTAGGAATCCACCGAAGTCATCATTGCACGTGCCTCAGCACTTCCAGGCCGAAATCACAAGCCAGAACCCTGAAGGAAAGAAGCCATGAAGATCCTGTGCCAGAGCACCTGCCGCTGAGATGGCCTGCGACGCGTGCACACAGGGAGAGGCCATCCCCGGAGTATCCCCAGTCCCCAGCCATGCCTCGAGAATATCATTCGCAGCAGTGCCGTAGCAGCCTTGCCCTGTCACCGACGCGAAGTGCGCCAAAGCCAAGGCGGCCCAAGCCTCCGTTGTCCCGGCATGAGTAGAGGCTTTAAAGGTGCTGTTTGGGGGCTGTCTACTGGACACACAGCCTTTTTTGCGCATTCATGCAGCAGGTTTTAGAAGGCATGGGAAGTCTTCTCGCCGGAGAGAGAAGCTGGAGTGCACCCTGCCGACGTAAAGCCATTTCGGAGACAAGCAGCATTGTTGCCGGAATCCACCGCCTTGTCCACAACCTTCGAATCCATGAATGCCGCCACGCACGAACGTGAGCTCAACTTGCATACAAGAAGCTGTCGGCGAGGCATAGCTGGACGCCTCATCATGCACACGTAGTCCAGCACTGCTCCAGCGAAGCTTCTTTCGTTAAAGCCGAAATCCGTGAAACTTGGCACCTGCTTACCCGCAAGTTCCCGAACGGCCCTCCTAGCCGATACCAGTTGAATCTCACTCCCGAAATCCCGGCGAAGGCCCTGAAGCGCGACACCACCTCCGCGAGCATGTCGCAGTCGTAGGACGCAGCGAGGAGACGCACAGTCAGCCCCGAAGGTGCACTGGCGAACAGCTCCTGGAACTGGGTCTTCGGACTTTGGGAACCCTGTTGGAGGCTTGACCATTCGGTGGGAATCGCAGCAGCGGCTCAAGTCCCTCAAGTCTAGAGATTCGTCAGCCGGAAATCGTGTGACTATCTCTGCCCCGTGCCTCCGGGTAGATGTTCCCGTACTCGGTGGGGTAGAGCAGCCTCGGTGCGTTACGACAGTAGAAATCCCGTCAATTTCATAGCGAATGCCAATGCTAAATGCAGCGG